GTAGCAAGTCGATCTTAAAATATTAAATTAATTATATAATTATTATATTAATTAATTTATTATTTGTTAGATAATTATCTGCTTTTCCTTAGTAATCAAGTAGAAGAAATCGGATGGTCTTGTGTTTTGTGACAATAATCGACGGTATGTTGATATGTCAAGTTGGATTAGCAGATTCGTAATTGAATGAAATAAGTTCATTGGATTTCGTTGAAACTATGAATTCATATTTATCTTGTGTTAAATCCAAGAAATTAACTTACTATCGAAATTTTCGAAATGTTTTTGGATTTAACACAAGATAAATATGAATTCACAGATTCGTAATTGTCGTGTGAAGTGGGGGGGCTAAGAAGCCACGCCCATGGTAAGATGGCATCTGCTAACGATTGTCATTGTTTACCTGCAGCCGTCTCACGGGGACAAGCTATCGAGACCTGACATCAAGAAATACCTGTCTGAGCTGACCAAGACTAAGAGGGAGCTCAAAAGTACGTTTGTTTGTGGTTACAGTCGCAACAGCCCCCTCTGTAGTCAGTAACCATCTATATAACTATATAACTCTATAGCAATGGTTCTTAACATTTTTTGAGTCATGGACCCCTTTGAGAATCTGGTGAAAGCTACGGACCCGTCTTCAGAAAAATGCACCTAAGCACATAAACACAAAACTTTGCATGCGCCTGGTCCACGAACCCCCTGAAGCTCATCCACGGACCCCAAAGGGGTCCACGAACCACAGGTTAAGAACCCCTGTTCTATAGTCAGTAACCAACCCTCTATAGCTGCTGGTTGCCCTCTATACAATAATCCCGCATCTACGTAGGGGTTGCATTGCCAGTAGATGGCGTGTGGGTTGTCCGGGACGATAGCTCTTCCTCTTCCCCTGCTCCAGGTCTCAAAGAGGAGTACCACATCTCACGTTTCGGGGTCATGCCGAAGGTCGGGGTCGTTGCCGACGTGAAACCGAGCGTCGACAGGACCTTCACGTCCACGATAAAGAAACTGGAGGAGAACCGGAAAGACGGTAGGTGGCGCCGGCATAGCTCGCCTTGCAGTGGTAGGTGGCGCCGGCACTGCTCGCCTTGCAGTGGTAGGTGGCGCTGGCACTGCTCGCCTTGCAGTGGTAGGTGGCGCCGGCACTGCTCGCCTTGCAGTGGTAGGTGGCGCTGGCACTGCTCGCCTTGCAGTGGTAGGTGGCGCTGGCACGGGGCATCCTGAAATGATAGGTGGCAACCTGCATTGCACGTCCTGCATTGCACGTCCTGCAATGGTAGATGGCAACCTGCATTGCGCATCCTGCAATTGTAGATGGCAGCTGCATTGCACGTCCTGCAATTGTAAGTGGTACCTTCATTGTGCGTCTTGCAATGGTAGATGGTGGTACCGTTGTGTGTGTACAGGTGTGTGGACACGTACCTGTCATAGTCGTACAGGTGTGTGGACACGTACCTGTCATAGTCGTACAGGTGTGTGGACACGTACCTGTCATGGTCGTACAGGTGTGTGGACACGTACCTGTCATAGTCGTACAGGTGTGTGGACACGTACCTGTCATAGTCGTACAGGTGTGTGGACACGTACCTGTCATGGTCGTACAGGTGTGTGGACACGTACCTGTCATGGTCGTACAGGTGTGTAACGATACGAGTGTATGTATGTATCGTAGTTGTGCAGGTGTGTAAGCATAACAGCGTATTTCACATAAAAATAAAGTTTACCTCAGTTAGATCCAAAATGATCCAACATTTTGGATCTAACTGAGATAAACTTTAGTTTTATGTGAAATATGGAGATCTGCTGAAATTATTCAATCATGACGGTGTATTGTTTGTCGTGTGACAGGCGACCGGCCCTCAGCGTTGGATTCGATGAGCCGGGGACAGGTACAGGACGAGAAGCTGTCCATGCAGAAGGCATTGCTTAACTACGAACACATCCACGGAAGACCGGTGAGTCACGAAGCTCCAGCGTGCACATGCATCGCAGCCGTCGTGCCAATACTGTATACTCCATATTTTTCGCGTACAGATATTTCCGCGAATTCAGACTTGACGGACAATTTCGCGAGTGGTTAATTTCGCGGTCGGTGAATTATGAATTATTCGGTATTATTCGGTATGAATTATTCGCGTGTTGTTATTTTCGCGGTCGGGGGACGCGTTCCCGAAATTCGCGAAAATTAAACCACCGCGAAATCTACAGCGCATACAGTAAGCCAATGAAATCATCGCTTTTGTGCGATACTCTATTTTTGTGCGTTTTGTGACACAGAGGAGCAAGCAGGACAAGGTACTGATGCGGCCGCTCTACGACCGCTATCGACACATCAAGCGAATGCTCGCTCAGCCGTCACCCGATCTCACAGAGCTGCAGCCGATACTGGAGGATGCAGACGAGGACTGCCCCATGGTGTTCACTCCAGCAGACGCCAAGGTGACCCCCCCCCCAAAAAAAAATGTGTGCGTGCGTGCGTGTGTGCGTGTGGTGTGTGTGTGTGCGTGCGTGCATTGTATGTCTGTGCGTGTGTAATGTTTTTGTAACTTTTGAAGCAATAGTAAATCCAGTAAAATCAACGATTTGAAAAGGGGCGTGGCCTAATCGTGACTATCAGCTTACCAAGCCTATCAGCTTTGTAATGGATGACCGGTACGCGTAGCCACGGCATACTGTATAACAGTCTGTCATCGGTTGCAGATCCGATCCCCATGGATGGAAACACGGTGTCTCTGCGTGGCAGGTACATCTGTGCTGGTAACGACGCGGCCCTGGTGTCCCCACGCGCCACCCAGCTTGCATACGTAGAGTGAGTACTAGGCCACCCACGTAGATTTTATATTTAGATTAGATTTTAGATTTTTAGATTTTGAAATTTATTTACGCATTCAAGTATATTACATTGTTACATATATCACAACAAGGTTTTGAAATAAATACAGCGAGGGAAGTCGAATTGACTATACAGTCTTCAAGTCAGCCGCTCCGCTGACTACAGTTAGTTACTTAAAGTTGATTCAAGACTTGATAGATGAATGGAATAGACTTGTTGATTCAAGACTTGATAGATGAATGATGAATAGACTTGTTGATTCAAGACTTGATGATGAATGATGAATAGACTCGTAGATTTTATATTTTGAAATTTATATACGCTTTTACATATTACATGTCTCAACGACGTTTAAATAAATGCAGCGAGGGAGAGCGAGTTGACTGTGAGTCTTCAAGTCAGCCACTCCGCAATATAAAGTTATTTACTGAAAGTTAATCCATGAATGACAATACGATTAAGAATTACAAAAACTATATATGAGCGATGTATGAAAATAAATAAACTACATGCAAATAAACTTGAATCTACCTGAACCTGATGTCAGCAATACAAATAACATATGCAGGTCCCAAATATATAGACAACTAGCTAGAGCACTCGGAGAGCGCAGACCTCCGCCAAGGCAGCTCAATTCTCTCACTGTGAAAAATTTTATGAATTAATTAATTAATTGGATCCGGATCACCACCAAAATGTAATCTATTCTAAGTTACCCCATTTCTGACCTATCCTGAAAAATTAATTAATTGTGTCCGGATCACCACCAAAATTTCATTAATTCTAAGTTTTGACCTATCTTGAAAATGTTATGACAATCCATTCATAACTTTTTCAGTTAGGCTGTACACAAACCCACAAACGAACAAACACACGCCGGTGAAAACATAACCTCCTGCCAATCCCTTGGCAGAGGTAATAACAGTTAACACATAACACATGCATATTTGCGTAAAATATGCCTTGAAAACACTCATTTACACATACATGTACAAAACATGGAGTACAGATACGCTAGCATTTGCCCCGGTATACATGAATGTATGCAAACTTATAGTACAATTACTGTAGTATTCTTTCTTCAACGTATGCCTATGCTTCAAACACACGCACACGCACACGCACACGCACACGCACGCACACACACACACAAGCAGAGTTGGACAACGTAGAAAGCACAATACTTTCATTACTCACTGGTACTTGGTAGAAAATATGATGAGTACCATATTTGGCGAATACTCATAGCAAACTACCCGGCAGGTACTCATACGTTTGAAAATTGATGAGTAAATACTCATCCGATCCAAAAATTCAAATAACAAATCTGTAGCACTGGTACCCACAGTTACTAGCTTTCTTCCTCTTCAGCATCTATACCATAGATCTTGTTCTCCGCATTTCCTCCGATGCTTTTGCTGTCTATTGTTTATCTTTCCGTCACGTTGCCCCGCGGCTCTTTCCTTCTTCTGAATCCTGCGATCACTCGTGTCTTTGCCGAAGAAGAAAATCAGTAGCCGTGTAGGATTATTGAACCCTTTTTTGTGTTTTTGTGTGTTTACTTTGCTTAAATCTAACCAACACCAAACATAAACTAGAATAATACTGTTACATAGCTTTTAGAATATTGTATTATATGGTATATGATATATCTGGTGGCCGGATCAATAACATTTAACCGATTATCTTCGATCATCGATTGGTTGGTTTGAATCCGATGATCGATGATGAAATTCAACCCATTCCCATCTCTAGTGTTAAGGTGATTACGTGACCGTAAATAGTAAAAAATAAAACAAATATTTCCACTTTTTCACAAAATATAAGTAATTCTGTTCAAATTTTATGGTTAAATTGCTGCATTATACTTCCTATTTTACTATATTGTTTGATGTGAAAATACACTCGTGACCCATACATAGCCCATAGCAAGCAATTAATGTTGAGAACATTAATTCAAATCGTCCAGGTTTTTTGGATTTTTAACTAGTTGAGAAACAATCTTATCAGGTAAGAATTTGACGATATGTTTAGTTGGTTCTTAATTTTAATGTAAGTTTTTTTTTTTTTTACAAATTTTACCACTAGAAAATTCCTGATGTAGTCCCTTTAAGGTGCAACTCTGTGTGTTCAGGTTCGAAGGCAGTGCTGGCAGCAGCTCTTCGTTCCCGACGTCTCCCCCACAAGAACAATCGCATGTTGCACCGGCAGAGGTAAGACTAGATCTTATGATTTCAGATTTGTTTCTAGCCCTTGTGTATGTGCGGTCTTTGTGTCCATGCATTGCGGATCGTGTTTGCAACAACCGTTGTGTTGTATTGATGTTGTGATTGTATGGTGTTGTCGTTGTATTGTGTGTCGGTTGTTGTTCAGATGTTAGAGGGGTAAGAGTGGTTGATTATAGAGTGGTTGTGGTCGTTCCAAGCGCGTAGCCAGGCGGGGGTTCTGGGGGCCGCCTAAGGACCCCACCAAGTCAAAATCAAAAAATCAAAAAAAAAAATTTTAATATAAAAAGAAAAGAAATGGAATGTTTTCGATTGTACAGGCAGACAAAGGCTGTGTTATTGACGTTAGTCACAAGCATGGTCGGGTTAGGGTGTCGTTGTAGAGAGCTGCGACAGAAAAATAGTGCATTGATCAACAAAACAGCCGTCTAAATTGAATTTTAAAGCACTATTTTTAACTTTAACATAAAAAAAAAAAATTCGGTACCAACAGACGCCCTTTTTATTCGCTCGATGACCCCCCCCCATCCAAATTCCTGGCGTAGCCCTTGGTCGCGGTTTCTACCACCCGTCGACGTGTGGTGGTTCTATTTGCAGGTGGGATGGCGCTACACACGGTCGCGAGGCATGCGAAGCCTACACACCCGGCAGCCTGGCAGTGAATGAAAGAAATACAGAGTAAGTACAGCTGAGAGGGTCTATGTCCGCGCCAGGATAAAGGCTGAGTAGGGTCTAATGTTCCCGCAGGGTCTAAGGCTGAGAGGGTCTATGTTCCCAGGTGTAAGGCTGAGAGGGTCATCACTGTTCCGCAGGGTAGGCTGAGAGGGTCCTATGTCCCCAGGGTAAGGCTGAGAGGGGTACTATGCCCCCAGGTAAGCTGAGAAGGGTCGTATGTCGCCGTCCAGGGTAAGTCTGAGAGGTCATGTCCGCGAGGTGCTGGCGGGACCGTATCCCTGGTACTAATCTAATATGCCTGTACATACCTCGCCTACTTCACTATAACGAGTCTAGGAGTCGCCTACGGCCTACTCCAACCTAACCTAACCCTAAACACCTACACCTAATCCTCAGACGCCTAACCCTAACCATATCAGAATAGTGCCCAAGGGATGTTCACGGTATACCGGACCGTACCAGGCGTACGTATCCGGCAGTACCCTGGGGACATAGACGCCTATGAGCGTAAGTACAGGGTTTCGCTTCTGAGGGAAAATTAAACAAAGGAGTAATGGCCAGTTTGGGAAAAAAAAACGCGCCATGATGGATTCAAATGCGTGCCGTAAAGGCAAATTATAATAAATATAGGCAACATGGCAACAAATCTTAAAATATGCGCAAGAAGCAAGATCGTGGTGATCTATTTATTTCGTTGGGTTGGACACATTTTGACAATGCGGGTAAATAGCAGGAAGCATTTTTACAACGCGAAATGTTTAAATTTGACAACAGCTGGGCAACCGCGTGTGCCTCTTATGTATAAGAAACCCTCAGTACATGTTAACCGTCGCACGTC